GATACACTTGTACATGAAACAGTAGGTAATGAACTGTAAATGTGGGCGGTTGCGCTGTCAGGCGAGCGAGCGAGCGAGCGAGCGAGCGATTGCGCGAGAGGATACTTCCGGATTTGCGCGGTCGGGAAAAAAAGCGGAAATTGCGCGGTCGAATTGAACAAAGCGAGCGAAAAAAAAGCGATCGAAATCCGGAAGCGGGCGGGAGGTTCGGCGAAATGAGTACTGTATATTACTATAAACAAAACTATACATCTTAAATTTGATAACTAACTGGGACTGTGCCATGCATGGCTTGTTTATCTACATGTACTACTGTAAAATCTGTATTAGAAGTTGCGGCTTCTATTAAAATAGTACAATGCAACAGAGGGGAGGCGGCTTCTATTAGAGCATCTACACTTATGAGAAATGACAGATTTTACGGTATACTCATAGCTATAGTTTATTTTGATAAATTTCAAACAATAAAAAAGTATTAAAAGGTGTATTGTAGGCAAAAGTTTTTAGAGTTATACTGATGCATTGTTTTGTATCAACCATGGTGTAACTCGTCTCATAGCATGCAGAGGTGTGCCAAACTCAACTAACCTAGGAAGTATGTAATGTTCCATTCATAATGCAGACTGAGGTAACATGATTTGATGTCTATTCAGGAAAACAGAACAAGAGTGTGGAGTGAATCTCAGACTAGTTGTAGTGGAAAATGCTTCTCAAATATTGATTTTGTAGTATAGATGGTTGGAGAGATCTGTGTGCAATTTAGTGATTTGATCATACCCTAAGATGCTGAAAACTCAATCACAATTAGAACTACATAGTTATGTGGTGATGTTCAGCTATTGTTTATTACAGTACACATGTTATTTAAAGCTTAATTGTTGGCATATTTACTCAATAACCTTTTCAATTTTGAGTAACTTGGCCAAAAATTGAACTTGAAAATGACAGCATGTCAGTTGTGCTGGTCATAAGCTGACATATTGCGCAGTTTACCAACTAAGCTGTCTTCACTCCATTAAATGCCATCATGCATTACTGTGATGTTCACTCCATTAAATGCCATCATGCATTGCTGTGATGTTCACTCCATTAAATGCCATCATACATTGCTGTGATGTTCACTCCATTAAATGCCATCATGCATTGCTGTGATGTTCACTCCATTAAATGCCATCATGCATTGCTGTGATGTTCACTCCATTAAATGCCATCATGCATTGCTGTGATGTTCACTCCATTAAATGCCATCATGCATTGCTGTGATGTTCACTCCATTAAATGCCATCATGCATTGCTGTGATGTTCACTCCATTAAATGCCATCATGCATTGCTGTGATGTTCACTCCATTAAATGCCATCATGCATTGCTGTGATGTTCACTCCATTAAATGCCATCATGCATTGCTGTGATGTTCACCTATTGGAAGACAGACATGTATGTGAATACATTTACATACACATATTACATGTACATGTAGTACTGTATTGATACCCTCATGTTCAGTGAAGTTATTCACTCCTTGGATGAGGTAAATTTCTCAATTTTTCAACCATAAATATTTAATGAATCAGTGGATTGTTCAATGTTTTTGTTTTCATGCATGGAAAATTCACTGCTGTTTCCACTTTTACAGAATCTGAGTTATGTCAGCGTCAGTGTTGTGGTCCTGCCCGTGGGTTCACAATGCATATTGTAGACAATAACCAAACGGTAAGTATACAACAAGTGACTGTATGTAATAGCACTTTAATGTCATTCCAATGAATGGTTAACTTTTCTCACATTTCACAAAATAAATGTGCAAATTTTTTTATTCCCTGTTCAAATGTTTTAGTTTTACATCTGTCCGTGTGTCTATTGGCATCTGTATCTCTGACATGCCTTAACTGATCACATTCAAACTCAAAGTATTTCTGCCATTCTGGAACCACATCTCGAGTATGCATGGACATATTTCTTTCTAATTTGGTACGTACATTGAACATGGTGGGACCTTGTTGTATGTTACTTTCCCCCCAGATGAAATTAATGACTCTTTTCTTTTTTACTGAATGCATATCTAATGAACCTTGATTGTTCAAATTCAGCCCAAACATACAAATAGGTCTTTGCTTTCTTCTGCAATTGCATAAAATAGTTTTCACACATATCTATAATTTCTTGGAATGTCTATCTCAATGTGTAATTTTCAATGACTTGTTAAAGCTAACTTCAGGTCAAACCCTATTTTTTTGCTACACATGTAAACACATGATGTGATTAATTTTCACTGATTTCTGACAAGTTGAATGTGAAATGAGGGAAAAAAGTATATTCGCTGAATTTTATAAAAATAGTAAATAGCGAAAATTAATTCCAAGCGATAGTATTTTACAGTATATTAATTGGATTGTTGTCACATGTACCCAATAATAATGAACTTCCACAAAGAATTGATCAGGGCTGTCTGTACATTTCTATCAGGTCAGAAAAATATATTATATATATGCATAGTCAGAAAAATATAAAATAAAATAAACATGTCTTTCTGTATTGACAGGAAATTCTTCGATGTGTTCGTGAGTTTAAATGCTGTGCTGGGTGTTGTTGGTGTGCAAATATTGATCACTGTGCATTTGAAATCGCCATTGAAGCTCCTGTTGGAGTACCAATTGGTTATGTCAGACAAAGGTCAGTACATACTATACCCCTAAATATGTAGCGACAGAAATGAACAGTAATTAAGGTAGTACTCCACTCATAAATACAAATATCCATATTAATCTTTTCACCACCAGACTTTCTCATCTAAATTTGTCTGCACTTTTTTCTTAATTCTTCAATATTTTGGGTAATGAACCCTAATTTTGAAGCCAACTAACAAAATTCAGGTCAATTTTCAGTTTTCACTCAAAAAAATTTGCCTATTTTTGTCCAAAATACAGACTATCAACAAGATTTGTGATAACGGAGAGAACTGGTGGTGAAAAGGTTAAACTATATCTTAAATTGTAGGCTGGTGACATAGGCTAAAAAAATATATATATTGTGAATGATGGCGTACTTATTGTTCAAGATTATTTCAAAAAAATGTTTTTCAAAAGTGTCAACAATTTTTTCTTTTACATTGGTGTTCTATGGAATTGCGATTTTTGAAAAAATACCTAGACAAGTTCTCCAAAATACGTCACTGAACACTTAGGACAATAGCTCCATGATTTTATGTACTAAACCAGTGTACGTTAGGCGATTTATGACCAATTTTTCAAAAATTATGGGTAGGCTTCTACCTAAAAAAACAATGTTGAGTGTTGATGCATATTCTCTCATAACTTCTATTTTCTTCATTGCAGGCAGTATTGTTGGGTTGCAGAATTTGATATAATGGATGCCAATCATGAGACTGTGTTGCGATTAAAAGGACCCTGTTGTATCTGTACTGGTCCATGCTGTACTTGGGATCAAGAATTCACTGTAAGTGACCATGTTGTATCTGTACTGTCCCATCCCATCCCATGCTGTATTTGATATCAAAAATTCACTGTTAGGGAAGAGTAGGAAATCAAACGGGCGGTTCACCGCGATAATCACCGCGGCTCTCCGCGGTACACCAGGGAGAGCCGCGGACTGCTTATAATTAGGGGTCTCTACCGCGGTGGCCACCGATACCGGTTGCAACCGCGGTCGTAGGAAA